GCCCAGAGAGGAGGAATCTAGAGGGGCAGTCTGGCTACAGCGGCTTTGTGGCACTGTGGTCCAGTTTTAACTTCCAGGTGGCTTTGTTTATGCCGTGAGGGAAAAGCTGCCTACTGAAGCATCAGTAATGGCAGATGCCCGTCCCCCCACCAAAGTCTGGCATCCCAGGTCAACTTCAGACTGTTGTGCTGGCAGCACGACTTTCAAGCCAGTGGATGTTAGCTTGCTGAGCTCCATGGGGGTGGCATTTGTTGAACTAGACCATTTGGCTCCCTGGCTTAAGCCCCCTTTCCAGGAGAGAGAACAGTTCTATCTCGCTAGTGTTCCAAGTGCCACTGGGGTATGAAAAAAAAACTCCTGCAGTTAGCTTGATGTCTACCTAAACGGCTGCCCAGTTTTGTGCTTGAAACCCAGGGCCCTGGTGGTGTAGGCACCTGAGAGAATCTCCTGGTCTGAAGGTTGTGAAGACTGTGGGAAAACTGTAGTATCTGGGCCAGAATGCATTGTTCTTCATGGCACAGTCCGTCACGGCTTCCCTTGGCTAGGGGAGGGAGTTCCTTGACCCTTTGTGCTTCCCTCGTTGAGGCAACTCCCTATCCCACTTCGGCTCACCCTCTGTGGGCTGCACCCACTGTCTAACCAGTCTGATTGTGATGAGCTGGGTACCTCAGTTGGAAATACAGAAATCACCCACCTTCTGTGTTGATCTTGCTGGGAGCTGCAGATTGGAGCTGTTCCTATTCGGCCATCTTGCCAGCCACCCCTGCCTCTTGTTTTTGTGTGCTCTTCTTGCTAAATTTATTTTATTGAGCACAGCAATAGCATGTTCTCACATAGGAAGCTGACTAACAGAATGTGCAGCATATAAAATATGTGCTATTTGTATAGAAATAATTTGCCAACTTCAGGAATCAGTTTGAGACTCACATAACACCCAGATGAATGGTTCTTCTGCAGAATCTGATTCAGAGGAAAGAATCATGAGGTGTAATGATTGAAAGATCTGTGGTGAATAATTGAATTATAGGAATGACCACAATAGACTTTTCTGTTAATGTTTCTGAAAAGTAGTGTTATTGAGCACATATCATTAAGCTATTATTTTTAATAGACATCCTATACTTTTATGTGATCTGTAAGACAAAGTCACCTTAGTGTACATTATTCAATTACTTTACTTTGGAAGTGGACACAGGGGTCTACACTGCTCAAATCTATAATATAGTTACCTTATGATAATTTATTATGGCTATAATGGGCATTTGCTTATTTTTCTTTGAAAAATGTTTTCAAGCTATACTTGTTTCTGCCGTAATAGATAGAGAACTTTGGCAATTCATTTTAGTTGTGAGAGTAGAGCCACAATTATTTTCTAATGAGAATTGATTAAGACCTTTCCTTACCCTAGTCCAGTTCTAAGTATTGTCAATGGTGATTGGGGTAGAGGGTACTCTGCATGTTTCCATGTCATGTGAGGATGTCAGCCCTACCGTCTTTTCGAGTGACTGCTAAGGGACATTACTCCTTTTAACTGTCAACAGAGAATGACTGCTTCTATGGTCTGAATGTCTGTGTCACCACAGAATTCATACATTGAAACCTAATCACCGATGCAATAGCATTAAGCGGTGGGGTCTTTAGGATGTGGTTAGGTCATGAGGGTAGAGCCCTCATGAAGGGGATTAGTGCCCTTATAAAAGAGGCTGCAGGGCAGCTCGTTCATCCCTTCTGCTATGTGAAGACACAGCAGGAAGGCATCATCTATGATAAATAGTCCCTTGCCAGAGATGGAATCTGCTGGCATGTTTATCTTGGACTTTCCCGCCCCAGAATTATGAGCAATGAATTTCCATTGTTTGTAAGCCACTGAATTTGTGGTATTTTGTTATAGCAGCCCAAATGAATGAAGATAACCGCATTACAGGGGAATGTTAGTCAGTATTAGCTTAACTCCTTATAGTGTGGTGTCTGTGACGGGCTCAGTTCATGGAGCTCTACTTGTTGAACATGCATTACATTTATTTATCTATGTCAGGAATTCTTAGTCCTTGGATAAGTTTCAAGGGATTGTTAACCCCTTGAAATTATAGCCCTAATTTTGGTTGTATGTGCTTCCTCGTGGTGTTGACACACTCCTTTCATCAAATTCTCGGTGAGGTCCATGTTCCAAAAAATGGTTAAGAATCACCATATTGAAGTTCTTCTTGTGATTATGCCAGATTCTCAAAGACCTGTGTCTGGATGGTTGGAGAATGCCTCTTTGAAGATTGCATTTGTGCATGTTGGCATCAGGGAGGTGCTGAAATTTCAGATGAAATGGCCAGGGAAGGCTCCTTTGGGAAGGTGACTTGAGCAGTGGGGAGAGCAGTGGATGATGAGTGGGATACGGGACCTTGTAGTCCTGCTCAGGACCTGGACTTTTATTCCAAGTGACAGGGGAGGGCTATAGTGCTTTGAGAAAGAGAGACATTATCTAGTCAATGTGTTAATAAGATCACTGTGACAGTTGTGTTGGAGAGACATCATCTGATCTGTGTTAAGCAGATCACTTTAACTGCTATGTTGAGAACTGACTGAACCGGGAGCAAGGGCAGAAGCAGGGAGACCAGTTAGGAGGCTCTTCTGATAGTTCCGGGAAGAGACAATGGTGGCTTAGAACAGGGCATTGGTAGGGCAGAGGGTGACAAATTATTAAATTTTGAAATTCCTTTGAAACTCTGGCATTATTAGGATGTTCATGAGGATGTTAGCTGTTATCTTATAAAATTAATCAATAAAAATTTCTTACTGTTCTTAGTGTTAGGATTATTTGTACTCTAGTTCTAAACTGTTACTTTCATTTTAAGTACTTAGAATTTATAATTGAACAATTTGACCATAAGAAAAGTTAGAACAAATTAATGGTTCATCCTTAGGAAGTGTCTTCAGATTAATGGTCATCCTATCATTCACTTTTAATTTGCTTCATTCTTTTTTTCACATATTTAAAAAAATTCTGTCACTTTTCCTGTGGTTTTTTCTTTTTTATACAGAGTCTCACTTTGTCACCCAGGCTGGAGTGCAATGGGGCAATCTCAGCTCACTGCAAACTTCACCTCCCAGGTTCAAGTGATTCTCCTACCTCAACCTCCCAAGTAGCTAGGATTACAGGCAAACACCACCACACTCAGCTAATATTTGTACTTTTAGTAGAGATGGGGTTTCACTATGTTGACCAGGCTGGTCTTGAACTCCTGACCTCAAGTGATCCACCCACCTCGGCCTCCCAAAGTGCTGGGATTGCAGGCATAAGTCACTGTGCCTGGCCTCTTTTTCTGTATTATTTGTGTTTTTAAAAAACTTCTTTATATTCCTTTTTGTACAATTTAGGGTGCATATATTTCTCTCATTGAATCTATGTCAGATACCACTTTCACAGTCTCTTTAAGATTGTGTCTATGTCCTTTTTATACTTGTGATTGTTTCTCTGTCATTTAAGGATGAAACCTGACTGCAAGAATCTAAACCATCAGATTAGTTTGTGTTTTGCATAGAACTAAATAAAGACGTGGTTGTTATATGTAAGGAAGGCTGAAAACTACTGATCTATTTGATCACTTTATTTAGGAGATCAGACGAGTTAGAAGTGAGTCAGATCAATTGTTTAACGGAATTAACTAGTCACTAGTCCGTTTAATCAAAACAATCTAGTGATATGTTGTATTTGTGACACATCCTGATTATAAAACTTGCCTTCGAGTTTATTTTATGAGAACATTTTATATCGAGAACAGGTAGCATACAGAGCAGGGAGGAATTTGTACTAGTTTAATATAATTAAATCATGAGAGTTTCAAACACTGAACTGATTTCTAGAAATCCTAAAGAAACATTGTGATATCAGTGTATAAAGAACAAAAATTTTGATGACAAACTTGTAGTCTGAAAAACAAATTTACCAGATTACCCATTGTTCATACTCGTTTATTTTCTTCCTGATAGTAACTTGTAAAATAAATGAACATGTTTTTCCATTTACTTATCATGTGGTGCCAATTCTCAGATATGAGTTATGACACATGTTTCTCAATGTTTTATAATATTCTTCGTGGTAGAGTTGTGGTTTCTATTTTAAATTACATCTCTCAGAATCATAGGCAGCTCTGAAAAGGGTTGTAGGGACCATTTAACAGTCTGATTTGTAGATGAGGAACCTGAGGTTTAGAGTGTTGAAAACCCAAATCCACAGCTGATTAGTCATAGAGCTTACGCTGGCACCCAGCACTCCTGACAAGTAGGTTTTCATCCAAAGTCCAAGCCCGATATATTAAAATTATGCTACTGTTTTGATTCATGACATAGTAGTACAAATAATCATATTTGTGATATTTCAAATTGAGTAAAACGCATGGGAAATCTTATCTCTGAAGTCGTGCATTCATTTGGGTATATGAAGCCATCAGACTTTCAATTATTCTAACTCTCCAGTATTACCTCATCTGCAAATGAACAATATGTTTCCAAAAGCATATAAATTTCTCCTCTTCATTGGAAATAAATAGGCAGTTGTTACCTATGCAATAATTACTTGGCCTTGTAATATCACAGTAAAGATGAAGGCTTTAATAAAAAAGGGAAATTTAAGACCTGAGCATGAAAAAAATTGAATATGGTGACATTAATGTTGTTAAATTAGCTGTTACATTTAATCAACATTGTAAGCACTTGTGTTTAGTTAAAATTTCAGTCTTATCCTGTGACACCTGTCCTGGTTTGTTATGGCATAAAGAACACTCAGTTAAAAACATTTTTTTTGGCTTGTATTTTTAATGATTTAAGATAGGATGTGTAAAGGAATAGATCTATAACATAATTTAATGTGAGATATTTCTCAGATATTGATATAGAGTATCACAGGTTATTAAAATTTAGAGATTTACTTATAATCCCTTTCCTTTTTTGTTTTCCACAGACATATATATATGTGTGTGTGTTTTGATTTTAGATTTACTCTTTTCCAGGTATACTTCTCTGAAGTAAGATGATTTGTCAAAAATTCTGTGTGGTTTTGTTATATTGGGGTAAGTTATTTGCTCATTTGCTGTTTTAATGTCCTTATACACAGTAGAGATTTTGCCTTTAGAGATGCTGTTTCACTTATTAACTAACAGAATTTCCTTTTTGTAATTAGGAATTCTCATATATGCTTACGGTTAAAAATGCAAATCATAGTATAATTGGGAAAATGAAAACCCTTCCCAACCTCCTAAAGACAACCTGATGGTGTATCCTTCCAGAATTATAACACACACACAGACACACACACACACCCCCGATGGTGTATCCTTCCAGAATTGTAACACACACACACACACACACACACACACACACACACACTCATATCTATAGCTTCAAAAATAGCACTGGTCTATACATGTTGTTCTGCATGTTTCTTTTTCCACTTAATAGGTTTCCAATTTATCACGATGGGAAAATTAATATATCTTTGTATATTTGGAAAAATATTTTTATAGATTAATTCTTAAAGAGGAATGTCTATGTTAAATATTATGTACATTTTTAAATTTGATACTGTCTCCTCTTCCAACATGAGTGAGAATACTCTTCCATTGCATTTCTGCCAAAGACGAATATTATCATTCTTTTACCTTTTTGCCCTGTTTGATAAGCAAAATA